GGGATAATACGTTTATATCAAACGGGTCAGTTACTGAAGTACACAGAGACTTTCTGTTAGGAAATACCACATTTTAAAAACTAGTAATGATTTGGGACTAATTTTTTTTTTACTTCAGAAATGTTTACTGTGTACTTTACTGTATTGTCACAGCCAATGAAGCATACTAACGTCTCTGCATGTTGTCATTATATGCTGCATATTAAGATTGCTAACAATTGCGAATAGAATTCATACATTTCTGTAGCCATAAAGGGAAGGAATCACTGCATTATCTATCTTGTATGATGTCATGTAACCTTACTTTTTAATCCATTATTGTATAACGTGACTGGTAACTTGAGTTTGGCTAAAACAGCTTGCAAAAGGTAAGTCATGAACTGGGGACAACAATAAATAGGAATTCTAATGTGAACATTATTGCAGACATAAATTGTCCACACTTGTAAATTATGAGCCTTTATGTCTTTTAAAATTTTATAAATTTTAAAATTAGTCTTCTTGATTCCACTGATTTTTTTTTTCCTAAGTCTTTCTGCTATAAATTAGATTCCTGTAATTTTTTTACTCAATAACTTTCTGAAGTGTCTTTTTTTGTAGAATGAAAGATAATTTCTGGCTTTCAAATCTGTAAAAATCTTGATTTGTCCATTTGTCCATATCCATTCAATAAAAACAATGTATTTTAAATAAAGCTAGGCATTTAGCCTTTGCATTTTCTGACAATTTTGTTGTTGTGGTTTGTATCACTCACAATAAGGATAACCAGAATGTACTTTTGCTGACATAATTAGATGTTTCAGGCTCACTGAGATACATACAACCAAGAAATTTAGCAAATACCGATACTAGACAGCCCATTCTTGCCTTTATAGGCCATTTCAAAATACTTACAGGGTTCTCAACAAGCCAGGGGATGGAGGATACACCCTCTACATAGATTACTTCTCAAGCTGCAGGTTTTTAATTGAACAATAAATGTGAAAATACTTTTTAAATTATATGTTCACAGAAAAGTTTAAAAGCAGAGAAGTTAAATTCAGCAATGATTTCGAGAGGAAGAAACAGTAAGCAATACGCAAATACAGATGATGTTGGTATAAAAGAGAGGTTCCGTACCTAGGCTAAGCTAAGGTAGAATTTAAGTCTAGACATATTTTTCTGTGGCAGTGTGTCCTCAAAAGAGTCCAGGAATACTATTATCTCCTATAGGGTAGAGGTAAGGATGACAGCCCTGTTAAGTGATAAAATAAACCAGCAGATTGATGTATGAGCTATAAGGTGCTAATTAACAGGAGCCATACCCCAATGTTGCCTTGTGCCTGTGACCTTTTTTTAGAGTCAATGAGCTCTACCAATTAGGTAGGAAATAAATAAAATGTCTGTGTGTTTTTTTCACTAGGTACTGCATGCAGGTGAGCAAACCATGTTGAACCAGGTCACACAGTTATATCATAAAACAGCCTAGTTTGAGTCTGTGCTGTGCTTCTTTTTTGCCAAATAATTGCATAAGGTAGCCACCCTGCTCAGCTATTTGATTTAGTTGAAAATCACAATCTGAACAGGGAATAAAAACATTTACAGACTGAGTAAAGGCTAATGATGCTTTATGGTAGATGCACTAACTAATACAGATTAGCAATTTATATGTGGGAGTAATTTCGCTCCTCAGAGATGTCCTGATAACTTTTTTGAAATACTTCTTTTATAAGTTGCAGTTAGTTGAAGATATTATTTTCTTCTCGATGGATTATTCAAGTACCAAGGCTTTAATAGGAAGCCCATTCCAAATAATGGAGTGCCTTGCAGAGACTGCTGAGTATTTTTAACTTTCACAATGCTACAACTTAGCAACCTATGCTGAACAGCTACAGGGCAAGAGTGAGATTTTGGGAGTTGTCACTGATGGTTTTTTTTTAAATCAGTGAGAAACTACAAGGGTCTTGTCACAGAGAAACTGTGGCACATTGATGAGGTGCATGGCCATTACTGTTTTGTACAATGAAAGCTGAGACCTTAAGTTGTGTATGTTTGCTGTAGTTATGCCAGTCATCATGTTGTAATTGCAGAGGCAGGGGAGGAGAACTCATTAGCAAGAGCACAAGCCCTCTAGTAAAGATACTGCAGTAGGATGTAGAAGAGAATTAATTTCCTAGATCTTGTATAGTTTTCCCAATGACATCTCATATTCCTACACCAGTTTCTCCATTTATAAGGAAAAGTAGCCTGTTTCTAGTTCGAGGGTCTTTTTTTTTTTTTTTTTTTTTTTTAAGGAAGAGACAATTAATAATGGCCTTTAAAAAAAAAAAACAGTAGTAATGGATATTTAGGCACTTACCTTTTTGAGGGGCTATTTGCTCATATTAATTTTGACAAGAAACAATTCTGTCCTCTGAACTGTTTGTGAAGAGCTTGAATAGTTAGCATTCTTAAAGTGTCTCCATGACAAAATGTTTGTAGTAACTTCTGCTTTCTGAGGAAGCCTGAGCTTTTTTTGCTTTGTTTTTTTAATTTTCTTTCTTTTTTTTCTGTTTTGGTGGGAATCATTTAAGACCAAGACTGGCCTAAAAGAGAGGGGCAGAATGGTCAGGTGTACTCTGCCCCTGCACTCTGCTACCGCCCTAGTACTGCGGAGGATTCCAGAAATGCCATAATCTCATTCATCAGCATTCAGAAAACCCAGACAAAGAAAGCCACCTTATTGCAGCAGTACAGTATGGAGAGATAGTTGTTTTACAGGCATTGCTTTTGTTTTACAGAGCCTTTTGCTGAGGAACTGTGATTGCAGAATGCTTTGTCTACAGCTTTAGCTTTGTGCCAAGCTGGAGAAAGGGAGAAGGAGTAGTCATTCTTGTGCATGGCTCTGGTGCTGCCCAGCAACCTGGTTATACCGTCAAGGAAGAATAAGCCCACTTAATAAGTGGTAGGAGAGCACTGATTTTTTTTAATCTTGTTTTTAGAGAGAAGTATGTGGGTAGATCTGAATGGTCAGGGTGTTATTGAAACAGCGATTTCTAGCGGATGAGAGTAGAGCTTCAGCTCATATGGGGGAGACAGGAATGTAGTAGGAGTTTTTTATATATTAGCCTTAGATCACACTGAAGTCATGATAATACACTCTTAAAAATATATTTTTAATTCTTCTGGGCCGTTTGCTTCCACTGTGGGAATAAATAATTTGGGTGTGCTGTACTCCTAGGGCAGGATACCTGCAGCTTTGGTCGCAAGATCTTGCTCATTCTTTTCCCCAACACACCTCATTCCCCTCTGCCCCCTAAATTTCAGTGTGAGCTGTGGCAATGCAGGTTGAAAAAGAAATTCTGTAAAATGGGAGCTGGCATTTATGAGGGGAAGTGTATTCAAATGATACTGCAACCACTGAAAATGGTGTTAGCATTGCTTTACTTTGTGACATTCTGGACTAAAATAATCCAAAAGCAGGTTGAGGGAGGGGAAGAAGGAACATCAGCAATGATGTTGGTTAAGCGTGAGGAACTGTACGTAAAAGAGCCATGTCTTTATACAGTTGTGTGCTAACCCAAGCCATCGTATTGCACCCATCAGCAAGTTCAGTGCTCCCTCTCGTGGCAGATTCTGACCAGTAAATCCATCGTAACTCATACCTGTTAGTGGCAAAACGTGTTTATGCTTAGCTATGAAAAGTATCTGGCATCCGGCTATTTTAATGCTACTACATACCAAGCTTAATAGACTTATAAACACAAATAGCACTGAATTCTTTTTTTTATTGACATTGGGGGAGAAAAATCTTTCACCATCTGATTGACTGAAGTTTGCCAAATGAAAATAGACAAAACAAATGTTTATGTACGTGCAAACATTGCAGATCAAACTGCTAAAAGAAATAACTAAAAGACAGGTCTTGAGCTAAGATCAAGCAGCAGAAAAATAGCAAATAGGTAAATGACTATTAAGTAGGTCTTACTTTGAAACTTCCCATTTAAACAAAGAATAAACAACAATAACACCACCAAATAAAGCCACAGCAGGTAATAGTTGCTCTTCTAAACTTTTTTACACTATATATTAATCACTCTGTCTTTCAGTTATTTCCTCTGATAAAACTGACTTCTGCGAAGTCTCAGCAAGGCCATCTTGGCTAAAAGCATAACGTTAGATAGGAGCCTGTCTAATGCCCTGTTATAATGAAGAAATGGTGGGGTTTGGCTTCTCTTTTCTTTCATTTTCTTTGTTGAATATATCTGGAAACAAGAATCTGATTCTATGTAAATATTAGATTTAATTTTCCAATGCTGGCTGGTGTCTGAAGATCCTGGAACGAAAAGGTGGCTCTTGGTAAAGCAAAATTCTTCTTGGTCCAAAGGTAACAGAAGAAAGTTTTGGGTTTGGTTTGGGTTTTGGTTTTTTTTTTTTTTTTGTATAAATCATTTTTTTTAAATTGCTTTTTTTTTGTAAACAGTTCTTCTGGGTTTATTTGTTAAGAGGTGAGCCATCATGGTGCTTCTCTATAGATATCTGACATTTCCATTTTGTCTTTAGAGGTCCATTTTGGCTCCAGTTCCAGGTTATGTCATTCTATTATACAACATCAGAGGCAGGTGTTCGACTTTAAATATTGACAGATTTTTTTCAGTAGGAACATGTTGAAGCTTCTAACTCTGCTAAACATATTCATTTGACTGTTACAATCCAAAAACTGTAAAAATGGTGGAATGGAAAGATACAAACAGTATTATTGACACTGTATTGTCAAATGTGTGCACTGAGACCCCATGTAACCATAGATTTTATTTTTAAAAAAATCATATTTATATCCATTTACATAAGACTTACACATTTTAAAAGAAATACATACACAGTAAATACGTAAATGTTTAGTATTTTACAATAAAACAGATGGAACAATGTAAAAATGAGTGACTTCATTTGATAAAAGCTTTGGATGTGCACTACTGCCAAATTTCTGATGACAGAGATGCTGAGAGGAAAGGGGGAGGTTGTTTTATTTTTCTTTTTTAATTAGTAATTTAGGTATTTTTTTTTTACTCTTGTCTTTAACTAACCAACACATGGAAGGAACATCATATCTGTTTGTCTGATATACCTCATGTATTCTCTTCCCTATTACCCTGTTCTTGCAGAGAGTTTTAATGCTCTTTTTCCTAAGTAGTGGTAGTGCACTTCAGGTAAAGTAGAAGAAAGAGATGACATCTAAGGGAAAAAATAAACAAACATTAATTAGCGAGATTCTTTGATTCTACTTTGGTCCAGGATGCAATGACACCAGAAAATATTATAGCACTAAGTAAGCTATTGCATGGTTTACTAAAACATGAGTTTTGAGTATCTGAGGGAGACATGCATTTGTTGTTTTAGATCTGCAACATAAATCTATTAATAATGCATTTTAATCTTTACTAATGTATACTGATTCTTGTCCTAGATTGAAACAAACTCCTGCTTATTTTCATTTTACAGTTGCTTTCTTGATGCTTTGATTCAGCACTGGGGTTAGTTTCCTGCATCTGTAGACTTTTGCCTGTTTGGCAGAAGGCTGAACACGCGTTTTAAGTGTATAGACCTTGTTGATATACTCTGTGATTCTCCTTGTTCACTGCAGCTTGATAGCATTTATCTTTTTCCACCCTGATGATTTCTTTGCTATGGACCAGCTGTTTCCAGATTATCATTCACATCTTTTTTTGGAACTCTTCTTCTCCATCTGTCTGTACAAATCCTCTTTGGAACCCTTCATTGATAAAGTGCATAGTTGATTTTACCAGATCCCCTTTGACGTTTCATTAGAAGAAAAGTGAAACTAGTATGTTCTATAGCTCCAGCCTGTGGCGATGGAACTGTCCTGGCTGAGCCTTCTGACTTGGTGGTGACAAGTATTTCATAAGAGAAAAGTGCTGGGAAAACTTACTGTGACTGCCAAATCCACTGGCTGTGTAATGGCATTGCAGAGGCTCAGCTGGGCAACATACAGCTACCACAGCAGAGACCTTGACCCATCCCATGTGCTCTGTGGTAAACTTCTTTGCAAGATTAAATGGCCAGACACCAGCAGTCTTAAATGTTCTTAAAATTCTGATCTTGAGAATGCACTGAAACTGGGCTGCGCAGAGTATGCTCACATTCTGAGAATGTCAGTTCATGGTTTCTGGCAGCTTGTCATGGTGGTTTCAACAAATATTTAAAAAAAAAAAAAAACCTGAAATGCAACTTGCAAGCATATGAGTTGAACCCAGCTGTTGTGAAGAAACACCCTAAGACACTGTAAGGTTTTACCTGGTATTGTTGGCATAAACTATTTTGAAATACAAGGCTTTGACATTCTCTGTAAGAAAGGTGAGTAGCAGAATGCAAGAATCTGCAGCATGCCTGTGATCACAGGCATCCTCATTTGTTCCGCGTGCAACCTGTTTGCAGCTTTCTTTTCAGTCTGCTCTTCATATGCATATTCCCCTTTAGTATTAAAAAAATTCTTTTATATTGCTGTTGCATGATAGCTCATCCAGCTATCTTTCTGCTTCTTTCTTAGAATCAGTCCCTGATTCTATGCATGCAGATAGTTTAGTCGCCAGAGTAACATAACTACTGATCTATTCTAGGCAAGGTGTTACAAGCCTGGGTTTCAGTTACAGACCTGGATCTGGAAAATTTCAGGAGGTGTGTTGTAATGAAGAATCTTCCCTTTTGTCCAAGTATCAATCAGTTCCTTCCATGAAGAAACTGTTACTCAGGAACTGTGATCACAAGATTCTGAAAAGTCTTCCTGTTGCCCTTCAACCAACTTCATGTTCCCCCATATAAGCAGGTTTTTTTATGTTCAGGTAATTTTTTTAAGTTTTCAAGTTCGATATAATAATGAAGGAAGTCTTTTCCTTGCGTATTTTTTATATAATTTACTGAAATCCAAAATTATTTTAACTTGCTCTTTGGTTTCTCACCTGCATGACATTTTGAAATTGCACTTACGAACAGTGCAAACAGAACTAAAGTTCTAGTTCATACCATCTTGTTGCTTCTCTAAAAGGGGCATATGGTAAGTGAAAAGAAATAGTAGTATATTAGTGTCAGTCATCCTTATAAATTAGTCTTTGCAATTTAGATGTAAATTTGATATTCTTATAGAACTCTCGAGCATTTCAGATTAGGATGTAATTGGCAGAGTAACAGACAAGCAGCAAGTACTGATGTGATACTATCACTGATACTTGAAATGCTACTAATATTCCTATAGAAATTGAAGTTAGCTTGTACAGCTTGTATAACTTTTTATAAACATATTTCTTCTCAAAATACGTAACTCGCACATACATCTAATGGCAGCAAAGTTTGCTACTTTGTTTCTGGACTGCTACTTTTTAGACATTTTTTGAATACAGTGGGAATAAACAGTTTGGATAATCTTAAGTTAATTTTTGTTAACATACCAATTTTCAATTTCTGCCCTTGTTGCATTCTTCAAACCTATTGGAAAATATCACCTCATGTGCCTGTCCCATTTCTATTGGCCTAATAGATAGCTTGGTGTTTGAACTTAATTTCTTGGTCATACTTTATTGCTCTCAGCACTGCAATTCTGAAGTATATAGGAGAAAAGATACGCATCTCTGCTATCAGTTCTACCCCCACTAAACCCAGTGAGAGTACTGTCATTGACTTTACTGACGTAACACCAAGCTGTAATCTATACTCACTGCAGGGGGGTTGGGCTAGATGATCTCTCAAGGTCCCTTCCAACCCAAAGCATTCTATGTGGTGGTACTACATACATACACATAAAAAGATTTATATATTTTATGTGCTTCATCATCATCTTTGTAGGACCAGCTGCTAAACTTACCTATTTTAGAAAAAATAATCTCCTGTGCTTGTTTTTCCGTGGTGGTATGAAAAGTTCCCTTTTCTACTAGATTAAGAATTTATACTCTTGCAGTCTCCTGAAGACGTATGAAGTAAGGCTTATGTCATCAGTAGGATCCTGAGCAACCTACATTTTCTACTGGTAACATTGCTGTTCCTTAAGCACTTTTTGAATATGCCCAGAATTAGTAAATCTGGATGGCCCCAAGCCTTTCCCAGTCTTGGGAATCTAAAAAAAGGACTTGAAGATCCTGGCATGTCTTTTCTACAATATGTAATAATTCTACAAAATGTAACAGCTATCAAAGCATTTTTAATGCCTGGTGAGGTTTTGGTGCAATCCAGATATTCTTTCCAGCTCTCCTACAAATCCCTGAGTAACTCAATGGAAAACTGTTTTACTGAGAAAATATTAGCATGAAATGGTGCCATATTGATGAAAGCGCTCATCAGGTTAGTGTTTTTTGCAAAACTTGTGATGTAGCAGAAAACAGTGTATTTTGGCAGAACTCTGGAAGAGCAAATCTGTGAGATTCATAGTCATGTTCAAAAGATAAATGGTGAGAAATGCAACATGAATTCCAGTACTAGATTTGATGCAAAGTTGCCTCTAGCTCAGAATATACTTTCTTTGCCACTGGTCAATTCTGAATGACTTGAGAAGTGCAAGAATCTGTGTAATAGATAACTTTGGAAGATTTTTCTGAATAGGGGAAGTTTTGTTCTAGCTTTATGCAGCTACCTGATGTTCTAAATTGAGCCATATTGTAAAATGAAAGACTTGACTAATGTACCTCTCTCTTTTAAAAAAAAAAAAAAAAAAAAAAAAGTAAATCAAAAAGTAAATCTCTTCTGCCTAGCTCCTGGTAGAACTACTGCAAGTTCTTATAAAGTAAATTCACTCCCTGCGCCCACTGCTGTCTCTCCAATTCTAGCTTTAAGTTTGAGAGCATGCGAAATACGTTATGATTGGTGAGCTATCATCTGAACACAGCTGTCTGAAAACTTTTGTCTTATCTGCTAAAGTGGTTTCAGCAGAAAGAACCTGCTGTTTGAGATGGGGAAAAGAACAGCGAGGCATCTCCTGGACTGAGCTTGAGACTGTTGTTGTGATCAAATGACCACCCTAGTGAGCCTGAGTTAGGTGCTCCGCTCCATGCTGGCTCTTGCTTGAATAATGCCAACGAATACTGGGTGTAGTGTGCAGTTACAAAGAGCTTTCATGATGGCCCCTTATGAATACTCACAACAATTCAGTGCTGGCTTCTTTGCTAGGCCTTGTCAGCATGAGTATGTGCGAACTGTTGAGCTGTCTAACCTCTGCAGTCGTGATGAAGCAACTGCAAATTGCAAAAAAAAGAAACAAACCAGAACCTCTTTAGAATCATGAAGAAAACAAATCAGTCTGTTTCCCACTGGAAGGGTGACTATTAAATTGCTCTGTGGCTTTCTATGACATGATCTGGGCATGGTCTAGTTCAGAACTCAGAGTTTCTTCATGTCTGGTGTAGTACTGAAATCTGTTTTAAGTGAATACAGTTTAAAACTCAACTTTGTCTTTATTTTGTCGGAAGTCCTAATACCTGTACCTATCATGCTGTTTAAATACTATAGTGGTCTTAGCACTGGGAGATAGGAAGCCAGATCCTGGATGAAGATGTAGGTCTTCAAAGCTATCTACCTTTAAGTCTACTGAGTTCAGTACCCAGCTGAATAATAAACTGTCTGTTTAGACCTCAAGTAAATGACTAAATCTCCCTTGTGCCTTAGTTCCCCATCTGTAAAATGGGAATAATATCTTCTACATCATAGCATGGCTAGAAGATGAAATCCATGAAGGTTTGTAAGGTTCTTAGCTAAATGTGGGCCATGGAAATGCCTAGGGAGCTAGTACCTTTATTTGTACATGGAATTTGCCTTGGAAAGGATTCTTGTCTTATAGCTTGATCATTGTCAAAAAGTGCAGGATTAAAAGCAAAGCGTGCGCATGAGCAGTGGAGTCAATGGATTTCAGCGATGCAATCAGTAAATTATTTCATCTGTAACTGTAACTAAAGTATAGTTTCTAAAGGTGAGAAACTTTAATGGAATTTAGATGGCAATATTGTCATACCAAGTTCATTCAAGAGTTACAGAATGTAATTGCTACAAGCAGCGTATTAAATTACTTTGAGACGAGTCTATTCATAGGCCTAATTTATCTTATGAGGAAATAAACAGCAGTATTGAAATGGGCCAGTCTGTGCACTGGTACTTCTCAGAACTTAAGGCATACGTGGCTTTGTCATCCATTTACCTGAAGGAATAGTGGCAATGGGATTTGTCCCTTCTCCCTGCCCTCTTACAATGATTTTAAAATTTTACTTATTTTTTAATTATGATCTGCTTGTTACTTTTCTAATCATTGCTGAGTTAGTGCATCTTTTGGAAATCGAAAGATTTCCAGAGAAAATTAAGACTGGTATACAGTAACTCAATTAGTACCTAAAATTCAGTATTTGCTAACTACACTGCCCGTCTGATTGTTATTGTTAGCAACTTGAGTTATTTGATGGTCAAGGCTAAGCTAGTTAGTTTGAAAGTCAAATAGGAAAATAAAGGTGATAGCCCTTTCTAAATTCATTCTATAAAATACACTCCATATGCTGGAGAGGCTAACGAGCTGAAAAATTTGCTTAGATATATGCAATCATAGATGAAAGTCAGTAAATTAATTCCTCTCTTTCTGAATGTTTCCTTTGCAGATCTAGCATGGATAGATTGCCTTTTTTTTTTTTTTTTTTTTTTTTTTTAAATAACACTGACATTCTGAAGCAAACCTGAAAAAAATCAATAGTATGCCAAGTCAGTGCTTTTCCATTCCCTAAGTCAACTCTTCAGGACTCCATTCACCCTAGTTATGTGAACGCAGCCGCTCTGGTGCAAAACAGACATGCACTAGAAGTCAATTTAGCATGCTAGAATAAGCCTCCTGCTTTTCAACAGTAAGTGCAGAAATGACAGCATACCATCAGTCGCCATCTTCCGCGACTGCCCTGATGTTGTGGTTAATCTGAACCCAGCTGGCAGCGTTTCCGAGGAGCCCGGCATCATGCTGATCCCATGAACCTCACGCGGAGGAAACTGTCGTCGCCAGGAGGGGCCACGTCTGAAGTTCTTGTCGTCGCTCTGTCAACACACAGAGTTGTATTTGATAAAGAAAAATGAAATTTTTGATTAATTATCGTGCTGTCTACTGCCTCTCCCACCGTCAAATGTATTCCACAACTATCTGGCTCTGTTGCACTGCATCCAGTAACTGCAATGCATTTGAGACACTCTTGTAAAATTAAGTGCTTTAGAAATCTTAAATGCTAGGGTGGAAAACTCTTAAATCTCTGGCTTGATATAGGAGAGGATTTTAGTATCAGCTAAAGTAGAACTTCCTTAAAAGTCAGATCTCTTCCAAATACACAGAAAGTGCAGTGGTTTGACAGTGCATTAGGAGGCTTACGTAAAGTGCTAATAAAGAATTAAACACTCATGTGCATGCACAGAATTCATAGGCATCTCACATTTTCAGCAAGTCCTTAAAGGTTTTATTCTTCCTCACGTGCAAAAGGCCAAGACTTGAACATTTTTGCACTGGGCTCTTACCTCAAGATGAAAATTTTCCATAGGTGGATTTGAGATTTCCCATCCTAGATAACTGCCCCAAATCCCACTCTATTACATACTGATCAACTTTGAGGAACCAATCCCACCACCACCACCCCCCAATCTACTTTTCTTCTTTCTTCTTTATTTTTAAAGAAAGGATGTAAGTGTCCTAAAGCATAGGTTGCACGGGTATCCCGCCGTGCCACTTGCTCTGGCCAGTGAAACTCGCACTCCTTTCTGCGTGTTTCCTCTATGGAAAATGCTCATCTTAAGGTAAGAGTGCAGTGCCAAATTTAGTATCCAAAATGTTATGAATATGTAGCCATACTGAGATTACTTTAAAAACCTTGACTGGCATTTCATGTCTTCATGCATTCAATTTAATTTTTATATTTTACTATGATATTTTATAAATACTGAAAATAAAATTAATTACTTCCTCAAGTCGTCTTTCAGTTCCTAGTGCTAAAAGGTTGTTGTATTCTCTCTCAAGGATCTGCCGTGCCTAGAGATACCAAAGTAAAAAATTAAAATGGTTGAAGAGGAATAAAAGGCAATAAGGGGTACAGGTTAACCAGAAGTAGCATGAGCAAACTTGCCTGGGTGTTTTGTGTTGGAATCTGTAATAATAAAGCTAAACTGCTGTAATCAAAGTTTTCATCCAGTGCTATAAGTGAACCATGTACACCACTTTCTAGAATATTATTTGCATATTCTCGCAGGCCAATAGCTTGTATCCAGCGTATGACTCGATCATTGCTCCATACCAGCACATCTGTAAGGACATAACACCGGTTCAGTCTCCTGATACCCGATAACTTCCGAACTATACAGGTTGTGCATGCACTGTGGACTCCATACAGCTTTATTTCTTAAATGAAGAATGCCAGCAAACTATTCATATAGTTTTAATGGCTTCAGTATCTCCTATTCAAAACCCAAGGTGTGGGAGCAACTGCGTGATTTTAGCTACCTTCAAGTTAAATGTTTATTCGAAATAATGTTTCCAAAGGAGAAAGGTGCCTCCAGAGGGCATCTCCAGAATGCAATTCCTCCCCCCTCCTATAGATACTCTTTTCAATTCTTAGGCAAGATTTTACAGTTTAATAGTGCAAAGGCACAGGAGAAATATCCATTCCTCAAGGCTTCACTGGAGATTTTTCTATTATACATTTTGAGAGTCAGGTCAGCACCTACCATTTTATATAACATGCCATAAAGCAAATGATGAATTCACAATTTTAGAGACTAAAACTATTTTTAGTTCAGAAAGCTGGTTGAGCTGTTAAGGTCCATGCCAATTGTAAAGCTAAGGCAACAAAATGAGCTAGGAAACCATTTTTGAGGGTTTGGCTGTTATAAAAAATATCCTACCCTGACCGTAAGACTAAAAGAAAGTTAACTTTAACTGCTCTTTATACTTGCGAGTGGGAAATGTAATACTGAGTTTTGTGTTACTAAGCGCTGAGGCGTTTTTCCTGAACACTTGGAAGTCCAGCTAATGTTGCTGTTCCGGGAGCAGGCATTCTCCATTGCCTGACCAAGAGCATCCCAGATTTTGGGGTCAGGATCGGCTGAAACACAGCGTGGCAGCGAGGGATCACCAAGACCAAATCCCACCTGGGATGGTGTCTAACTGACTGACACATGACAGGGTGAAGGTTGGGTGAAGGAGCTGTGGGTTATTACCCTTGTCCTAGCGGTGACTAGCATTGAAGCAACACCAGAATTTGAGCCCAACACCCAATTCCCCCATGTCAGTCTCCCTGACGCTGATGCCTCTATATCCAAGTCAAAGTCTTTGCATTAGTGCATGCCATCATCTGCCTTGAGCAAATGCATGCTTTCACTGTAGCCATTCCTCCTTCTAGTTCCCCCCTTATTTTTTTTTTTTCAGCTCTTCCAATCAGCATTGTGCTTGAGAAGGGTTAACTGCTGTATGCACTAGAGCTGGAAATGCTTAAAGAAATCAGAAGATTCACTTCTGATAACGGAAAAAACCCAACCACCCCAATAGTTATGTATAAAAGGAACCGTGCAGTGAGCATGCAACTGCTCTAGAGAGCTTTACACAGAAAAATACTTTAAAATCGGCTGTTAAATCTTTTAATAAGGCCAGTTCTGTTAGGAACTATTCTTACATACCAATCAACTGCCTCAGTGGCCATCCCTCCAAGCAACATTTTCTGTGATACACATTTTGAAGTAAGAAATCAAAGGCAAAGGTTTTCAAAAGCAGGAGCACAGTGTTAGGGTCCCGAGTGCTCTGATTTCCCAGTGTTGCCCCCAGCATGTCCCATTGGCTCTTTGGCCTTCTGCTTCTGAGACTGAAAGAGGCTAGGATGAGATCTGTCCCCAAAATCCAATTTAGCAAAATGTATGTATTAAACCGCCATTCAGAATTGCAGCCCCAATTTAGCAAAGTACCTAATTGTGCCTAGTTTAAGGAGATATTTTGTATTCTGAAGACAGATGGACTTATGTTAGCTTTACTTAAAGCACATGCTTAAATGCTTTGCTAAAATGGCATGACAAGGGGTTAACAGTGTCGAGCTTCAAAAGAAGAAACATTCCCAGTATTCATTCCCAGGAACTATCACCTTTTATTTCATGCTGACTCATTTCTCTTCGCTTTTCCAGTTCTTTTCTATCATAATTCAACCTCTTTAAACACATGATTCCATATTGCAAGCTTGTTCTGTTATTTAAAGAGAAACATTTACAGAGTTAATAAAGATAATTTTTAAGATGGGAATATATGTAGGATGTATTTCCTGCATTTCACATGAGGTGTGTCATGGTGCCCATGTAGCAAATCTTGAGGACAGAGGGGAGAGCAAAACCATTAAAAAAATCCACAGACTTCAAAAATGAAAGGGACAAAACCAAAATGAGTGTTTGAATAAATGTTCTAGCATAAGAAACCCAAAACATTAAAAACTGTGTTCAGAAAAGGTCAGCCCTTGTGAGCTGTGAAATGTTTCATCAAATCAGGCCTCAAAATGACAAATCAGCCAGTACATTAAAAAAAAAATCCACTTCTTGTCACATAAACATCATTCTCCCTGAAGTCTAAATGCCTTTATTTCCATATTTCCAATTTAGCTTCCTGGCTCTATCCCTAGATAACCCGAACAACTGTCAATTTGCTTGTACTGTTAACAGCTTTTATGTGCTACACACAATAGCTTTTCATTATTATGAGATCTCAGGGCTTCAAATCGTAGTCTACCATTTTCTGATACTTTAAACCACTTAAATAAATTATTATTGTTTCTGTATTGTCAAGGCTTTATTTATATATTAATGGTTCCCCGCTCATTATGCAATTTATCTGTACCAATAGTTTTGAGAGACATAACTGCAATGCGGTTGCTATTACTAAAGGAATGTCTCTCAATTCAGATTTCTGACACTTGGCACTTGCTTTTCTGTGTGGTTTTCCAAACCAGGACAACAGAAAGTAAGTGTTTTTATTCTGTGCAGCACTGAGCACTAGTCAGACATATAAAAGTCTTTATACATGTAGTCTTTATGCAAACATACCGATGAAAGCTATCCACCATTTTTAAGTGCACACGCAGATCTTTCTTTGTCAGATGATCTAACATCCTCGCATCTACCAGGCATTCCATAAAATAACTTCGGTACTGAGGTAAACCCAGACTGGGGAGCCATTCGTTACCTATCCATTCGTGGTTCATATCACCATAAGCCAGGGTCTACAGGGAAAATAAAAGGGGAAGGGGAAATAAATCCTTGAGTTTGTTCAAGGTTGCACCACAGACTGAAGACAGAATATCTATCTTCTATGCTTGTTTCTGGTGAGACTTCCTAGCTTAGAAATCCTGTCTAAAAAAAAAAAAAAATTCTGTTTTTACATGATTTTGACATTGGAGGTGGAAGCAACTCTGAGATATTTGTTACTGATAGCAGTTTTGCCTGTTGTCTTGTTTTCTACCTTTGTAAATTTTAAGCATTTTTTTCTGTAGTAAGAAATCGTAGTTTCAATTTTGAGTTTTAAATGCAAGCATAATTATTACACAATCAAAATGTGTTTGTTTCATAATCTTACTTGCTTTCAACTGACCTTCTAGAATATTTATGCTAGGCAATCCTACACTGAACTTGGTAATACAAACATGGCCCCAGGGAATCAACTGAAGTTTGTGTCACTGTTTAGTGGGGGCTAGGATTTCCTAAATAGGATCTAATGACACTTCATGGTTACACACCTGTAGTCCTTTTGAAACTAGAAGTTAATTTCAGTTGTTTGTCAGCCAAGCTTATGTTCACCGTCAGTCTTCACCATTAGTCAGAGCAGGTGACCAAATACATTCTATTGCTGAGATATTTTCAGCTGTGAACAGCTTAAACCTAAATGCATCATATGTGGAGCTCAATAAATTAATTCTTTAAGATAGGAGGAAGGCAGACTCGTCCTAGAAGCTAGCATTCAGACATCAAGCTACTTGATTGTTCAACTGAAATTTCAATAGGGTGAGGAAGAAAGTATATGAAAAAAACACATGCATGTTGAGCTATTTTTATATGGGTTGCACAATTAAGATGCAAAATAGATTCTACATCTCGCTATTGTCAATTATTTTGGTACTACAAAAAGTTAACAGAAAAGAAAACTCATAAATTGCAAGATTAACACCTCCTCAGTGGGATCGTGCTCAGCTTTGAGCATCACTTTCAAGCCTAACTATCTTTTTGGTTTTGTTTTTAATGTCTCCTGTCATTATAGACAAAAGGATAACACAGTGTGAGCCAGATATATTTTCCAGGGGGGAAAGTATAGTCCCTTCATGTCTCATTCTTGTGAGATTTGGACGAGAAAAGGAGTGCCATAAGTAAAGACAGTAAGATTGTGTAACAGTGTGCATATATCAGACAGAGAGAAAGAAGTTGAAAAATATAAGTGATTGATAGTCTAACGTGAAAAATTTTGTTCCTAATTATACAAGACTATTTGTAGACTGATACTTGGGCGTGATTTATACAATTGCTCTAAAAAAAAATCTGGTGTAATTTTAGAAATGTTAGATCTCAAACTCTTGGCATATTTTATTAGCCTATTTTCAAACAGGAGGAAAATATTTTTTCTAGATTTAGCTGGGAGGTAGAAGATGTCTCTGGAATGTAGCCATTTCTTTTAAGAAAAATATTTACAGCATATGTACCATTTTGTTCTTTACCTAGCAAACCTGTCCAGAGAATATTTTCTTTGTATTAGAAGAACTCTAAAGTGTGTAAATCATAATTCAGTCACTGAGGTACTGTCACAATACTGTGCTCTTCTGTGCATATTGATACACTGTTAATTCCATTATTATTAGCTTTCCATTCAAAAAAATCATGTGAAAGGGTCATACCTGAGCCCAGCTGCCTTCTTCGGACTCCTTCTGTGTTATCAGTGAGAAGCAATTAGTAAAGCAGGTAAAAAGACAGTAAAAATGAGTTATAAAAAGACGTAGTTTTCACGTGTATGTTAATCTTAGTACAAATGAAAACGTACATGTAAAATGTGCCAATAAAATAACTGCAGTCAGTGGCAATGCCCTGGGGTAAACTACCTTAAAAGTTACAAGACCTAAACCATAAAATCTTAGCAGGGCAAATCTAGCTAAGTTTTCAAGATATAAAATTATTATAGCTTGGTGAAACTTTACAGCATTCTCTTAAAGACTTTTTATGGTTTCTCAATCAAAACACAACAATTTACTTACAAAATTAGGCATTAGAGATGCCATTTTTTGTTTCTACTTAGGTTTTGCAACATTCACAATAAAAAGCTGTCTTCTTGTGAATGTATTGTAAAGGAGCTTTTTAGATAACATTTTTTATGGCGAAACTATATTTTTCTGGCTGGCCAGTTAAACAGGACCAACTCTACTTCCAGTCAGTTGAGTGGTGTTATATTTGTATTTATCTTTACCAACAATAATAAAATTGGAAATTAGCTCAGTTGTAAAAAAAAATTGATGAGAATCTGCTTCATGAATGTTCATGAGAAAACTTTAAACAGTATAGCAAGCATAAATTTCTAAGAAATATGTCTTTATTGCATCAAAATTTAGCTTCAATACCTCCCCAACCAATTATGTATTGGGCTGTCTATAAAGTTTTCCAAACTGAAGATAGGTTTTTCAGACATCTCACTGTAGGATTGTATCATGTTTTATAAGCACTGTTATGGAGTTGATATGACATAATGCTAAAGCCAAACCCTAAAATAACATATGTTCCAAGTAAAAGAAGAAAGTCAGAACTATTGAATAAAATCTATTATTTATGTCCCCCCAAAGCAGGGAGAGGTTTGACAAAAATCAATAAATAAATGACACACTCCATGCACCCTAAATTAAACAGCATGAATACACGAGTATGGACATGAAAGACTCAGCATTAATGGAAACACTGAGTTGTGTAATGCACCATTCTCAAGCCTTTTCTTATCTCTTTCTATTTCAGCAGATATAACACTATGTTTAGAAGAGGTACTAGGGAGTAGAGTAGAGGGAAATTGTTGCACCTGTAACCACAACAATTTCATTTCACTAAATGAGGTTTCACACTGGCAGTGAAACTACTGTGTACTGTAAAACTCCAATACTGGTTTTAGGTTCACACAATTTTTGTGATCACAATACAGTTTGTAATTTCTTTTGCAGATAAATGATGTAACTGTTCTTTAAATTAAATTTCACTACTCCCTGTGACTTTCTAATGGCACACTTGGGAAGCATCCTACAGAAGACAGGGTATCTGTGTTAAAGCAGATACATCCTAGTTGTCTTTTGAGCACTGAAACCATTTAAATGGAAGCGGAAAGACTAACCGTTTTAGCTGGAGCGGCAAGATTTTCCATTTCTTCATGGGTCACCCAAACATTGCCTGAGGGCTATGGACACAGCCCGCAGGGAGGCAGGTGGGATCCACATTAGGTAAGCAGTGGTAAAGAAGAAAGGCAGCACCACTGTAAGTTAACAGCGTATAGCATCACCATCAGCACAACCACGTTCTTGCCTCTACCGAGCTGCAACTAGAGACAACTTTAGACAACTTGTTTTGTATCTTTTGTTAGAGGATTCTGAACGGACCTGATGGAGTATTTCAAACAGAACTGATGGATGAAATCTGGTAGAGCACCGCCACAAAGGAAAGAACAGTAATTAAAGCTGCATTTCACACACAAGTGGCAAATACAACCTTTAGCTCATAGCTCTGTCTGGACATAAGCTTCAGTTCTCAGAGATTTTCCAGCCTAAATATTCTGCACGCATCACATGCTCATATTGTAATCTAAATAATTGTTACTTCCCCCACGTTTCTGTAAATCAAAAATGTCAAGAAAATTCACTTGTAATACTATTTTTCCTCATCTTATTGTTTTCAGCCAGATTATTACTAGGACAATGAGATGAGGCAGAGAGGGGGTGTGGAAGTCTGCTGTGCACATAAGGTGAAATGTGATGTGTTTTCTTGAGAGCTGAAGTAAATTAACTCCTTTCCTGAGAAAGAAGGGAGGCAGAATGACTTGGGACTCAGAAATGCACGTGCCAGGGCAGGGCAGCTTTTTGCTGGCAATTCATCAGGGAGAATTAAAAAAACAAGGCAAAACTATTCCCAGTGTTTCTAGCTTGAATGTACTGTTTTCTCGTTTCATAAGTGTCAATGTGCTTATGCTTTGAAATATGCTCTTACGCTCTTAAAATCAAAATGAATTTTGTTTAGTAATTCAACATCACGTTGAGTCTATACTGCTTTACTTAGGTGAAATCCATTACTATTCACAGTATTACCATGGTTGTGACATATACAATCATTCTGAGGGAAGAAAATATCACATGGGGAACTATAATATTTAAAGAACCTTGGAAATGTGAAGATAAAAGGCCAGTCAATAGGAACATTAGAGTCCTGTTGTCCAATCGCTCGTATAACTCAGTGGTTCTGGTACCCCTCAAAGGTATCTGAATTCTCATTTCCACCAAAAGATTCTCCATGAATTCCATGAAGATGAGAGATTACAAAATACAAATATTATTATCATCATCATTATTATTGTTATCTTAGTATTAGAAGTCTGGGCTGCACTACTTGAGTAGTAGACTTCGTCCTTCACTTATGTGCCATATTTCCCATCTGATCAGATTTTTCTTGTTCTTTTTTCTTTTTTTCCTGGTTACGGCCTCTGTTGCCTTTTTCATAGCCGCCATCATCATCAGGCTCTCAGCTTGAAACTCCCCTTTCATTATCTTGTTTCTTTTTCTCCTGGCCTGTGCTTCTTCATTTTCCACTAAAAGGTGTTTTTTATCTATAGCACATACATTCTTGCCTTCTCCTAATGTACTTTCTTGCTCTTTTTGATATATTCCCCTTTCCTTTCAGACCTGTATCTCTGTGTTTCTTCTTTAGTTGGTTCCTTCCCATCTGCTGCCACTCTTCCCCTTCTCTCCCTTCCTCACGTGCTCCACTTCTCCCTTCCAGACTCTCCCTTCACACCTCCAATCACTGCTTCTCTTAAAAGCATGAAGAACATAAAGCCAGCTGACTCAGATTAGACAACATTTGAAAGGATGCAAAAAAGGGGAATAGGAACAAGATTCAAAAGAGCTGTGTTCCTACATAACCCCTCCCCCCTCTTGCCTTGCCTGCCCCCGCCCCCCAAAGGAAAAAAAAAAAAGAAAAAAAAAGAGAAACAATCTGATTTGGTTGGGAGAGATGGCTTGAAGGAAGAGAAAGACAAAAATATAGGCAAAATTACAAACAAGATGCTCAATACTGATAATTTAGATAACATCAAGGTTAATCAAAAGCCTGACTTACAAAAAATAACAATATCTGCTAAGGGAAGAAAAAATCAGCGATCAACAATCAAGTGGTGATGAACAGGTCCCTCTATGTCTCTATAGGACAGTTCCCACTGATTATGAAGTGTGCGTTACCACAGAGCCACTCTTGTACTACAAAAGTCTTTCTGCAGACTCCTGCAGGGTGAAGTGGGGAAGAAAAAGTTAGCTGAACGGGACTCACTGTTCTGGATGTTGGAGGTGCTGATGGACTTGTCAGTGATACCATCTCCTGGATTGCTAATCGGAGCTTTAAGCGATGAAGAGGATTGCTGATTCCAATTTCTCTTTGAATCTCAGTATCAGACAGAGCAGACATAATAGCTCCGCTCTTCACGTTGGCACGGCAGGCAGCAACATACCAGGCTGGCATGCCTAGCCAGAGCTGTTGAGAGAAAGGACACATTCATCCAAAGCATTGCTTCATTTCTCAAATGAAATTAATCATCAAGGCACCTATCAATCTGAATAAGCGTGGTAATACACACAAATGATTATGACTATCGTAGTCTTTAATAAAACAAAATTGTTGTAGAACCTTTGAAATTGCTGTGGCTTCATGTGAACTCCTTTTGTTGCTTTTATGTAAGCAGAACTTTAAAGCAAGGGATGCTTTGAATTATTTTTAGAGCTATGTGCCTCCATCACCTAGGCTACTCCCATCACCTAGGCTACTCCTTTGCCGGGCCTTTAATCAGCAAGTAGTGGCACAAGTCAGCATTACTGCCCATTTGACAGTCTTATCAGATACAGAAAACAATCTAAGAGGTATTAAGTAATTTTTTCACTTTTGTACTAAAATGGCTTTTTCTCTCTTTCCATGTTAGTCCCCTCAGGGTACTCATGGGGCACAATCTCACACTTCTCAGCTTTTATTTTCTTGGTAGAAATAAACCAAGCACAGTACAGATAACCAGCCTAGTGAGGACTTGAGCTTACTGTAAATTTGGGAACAGTCTGGTATGGTGTCATATCCCAGCTATAAGCACAGGTTAGAAGTTGCAGCAAAATGTAAGCACAGCTACATCACCTGTGAGTTTTGAAGATACATACTCGCCACTTCATGCTTTTCCTCTCCTTATGTTAGTCTTACTAGACTAGGTCAGCAACAGCCCCTTGCTTCACCACTTTTACTCTTTTCTTGTAAGAGGTACTCTCCACTTCTACCAGTCTTTCCTGGGACCTACTGAGTATGAAATCTAGGTTTTCTCAGTTTTCTCATTTTGTGCTGCCTCATTAATATGATTGTCAGTGTCTACAGATCTTTGCTCCCAAAGGAGATAATTCTATAGCAGGGGTGCATACATGTGGAAAGTTTTTGTCGCAGTGTGAAATATGTTACACTACAGAGAAAAGTGTGAGAAGGACAGAAGCAGTGAATGCCATAATCACTGAGATTTTGGGGATAACACAATGGAAAACAAAGACATACCTCACTAGGTGCTTAACTCCAGGAGACTGTTAGGCTCTGTGAAACCTGAGAGAAGAAGAGACTTCTCTCTGAAGAGTAGCCCTTCCCTGCCCTCTCTCCTCACCCTTTTCCAGATCACTATCACACATGGGTTGGTGCTGTGAATTACGTTTTTTAGTACATAGCTCTCCTCACTGGGATAAAGAAGCATAATGTATAACAAAAGATTTCCAGTGGGCAGCAAAACAGCAAACATATTCTAGATTTTGTGACACTGAGTGTCAAAGTGCACAAATCAGCCTTCACTACTTAACCTTCAATGTATCTGAGTGTACATACATCTGTATACATAAAATTTATATACATATTTATACAGCTACCTAATTTTGTTAAGTATAGATCTGTTGTACTTTACTGTACGTATTTCTTCAAATATAAATTGTCAAAAGCACTTTTCAAGCATACCGATTAGTTTCTAATGGCTTATAGTAGCATCTTACTCTATTCTACTGTTTCTGAAATAGAAACCTATCCATCAGCATACGATGCAGTGATACTATGTGATAGTAGCCATTATATTCTATATTTTCAGATTTTTTTAATTAATTCTGGGTAGAAGACAATTAACGACTATCTGTGTTTGAATTGCAGTGAGATAGAGCATCTGTGACTGTAAGTGAAGTCATTGAGAGCTCTGTCTCTCTGTGCGTCTGAAATAGGCCATCAGAATTAGCTGATTTCATTATTTTAATTTTTTCTCTTAATAATGGCTTACTAAAAGAGAACATAAGGTCAAAGAAATTGTTTAAAAATATGCCATCAGTAAATTCACCAGTGAATCTGGAAAGCAGAGACAAACTGAAAGGATTTTCCTTTAATGTCTTACAGTACAGGGAAGTACTGGCTATTAACAAGTCTATACCTTATCTGGGACATACTTACTTAAAAGACAACTGTTAGATCACTTTCACATCACAGAGGAAACAGACTTGAATGGCAGATTCCAAAAGAGCTCACACAGGCTTTTCTGTACTGACTCCCAATGCGTCACAGGGCTTGAGGAACCACTGCATCATGTTTCAAAAAGCCCTTCCCACTGATGGGATGAGCCACTGCCCCCCATCTAATGCTAGTCTGAACCTTACAAATATGATCTAATCCCAACTAACTGTAATGAAATACAAAGTTTCATGAAAGTCAAAAAATGAAAAAAAAAAAAAGTTATGTAGATTACACCCAGCTGCACTTCAACAAAGGGCCATGAGGAAACTATGCATAGCTTTAAAATGTATTTAATGTTCTCATTTAATGTGACATTAATTTTTTTCATACATGCACTTGAAAAGCAGGAAAGTGTAAATATTGGGAGTTATTCACCCTGCAGAAATAGATTCAAACGTTTGCTGCTCATTAGGTAAATTAGTCCTTTAACAAATTAGGTAAATTAGTTCTTTAACAAACAGCTGTCTCTACCAGAAAATACAGTTAGATGAAAACAGTCCCTAAAAAGAGGGCAAAGTATTGTTCTAGGCAGAGAACCCAGATATCAAGACTGATATACTGTTCCAGAACTAGTTAAGAAAACCCACAGTTCTTAAAATATATCTCAACTATGTCCGTGCTACATCCAAATGACCAGAATAAATGCTAAGGCTGAAAAGTTAAGCCCTGAAAATTTGGAAATGTCACAATAGCAATCACATATACTTCTTTAATTTGGGCCTTTGTCTCCTTTAATATTAATTTCATTTTTTAGTCCAACAGTCACATATTATATTTTCCCCAGGAGAGTATGAAATGCACGCAGTGTCCATCTGCTGACTGAATGCACTGATGCTCACTGAATATGTTCAGTGCTTCTGCTCTCATATCTTTTTATCATCAATAGTCAATCTGCATTGAATACTGCAACATAAACTTCCCCGTGGGCGTTCCTCTGCTACTCTCATCATATTTCCAGAGAAGTTCATAGACATCAATTTCTCTCTACAGCCCCTCTCTGCCAAAGTGGGAAGCATATCCTATTTTGCAGCTAGAGAATCAAGGCAAAAAATATTAGGGCTTAACTTGTCAGAAATGTCTTCAAGTTTTGGATCACCCTGGAGGACATCAAGGGCAGATTTTTCGCAGTATTCAGAAAAGTATAGACCTTTGTATATTCACCTTTCCAGCAAATCAGCTTTGACTGTAATATTGAATATTTCTGACGGATACAAATCTGGTTACAGAACTCTCAAAATCATATGAAAAAGTCAGGTAGTGGCCAAAGTAATGAATGTTCCTTATTAACAGAGATCTTTTTTTTTTTTTTTTTTTGGAAGGAAGATATCATACTATTTTCCAAGGTCATGCACATATGCTTGAACTGCCTTTCTGCAGTTTTCATTTCATCTTTTTCATTAAGTTCCTTCTGCAATACCCACATGAAGGAGAAATTGTGTAGACATTAACTGCTTTCATTCTTTCCTCATCCTTTGTTTATTCCCTGAACATACTCCTGTTAAAGCTTTGGAGGAGGGAGACCTTTTCTTTTTCTAATTGAAGGGAAAAACTCCACAAATTCTGATGATCAATGGATGATGTCCACAGCAGACATGAGAATAGGTGGGAATACATAGAGATGTTTAGTATAGACAAGGAATAAACACCCATTCCTTGAGCCAACAAAGAGCTTGTATCTGCACTGAACTGATACAGACTTGCCATGTAAAAGCGACTGTGTATTTGTGTAAGAACATCCTTACTTTCTGCCTTCTCCTCCCCTCAGCATCTGGGTAGGTATTTTTTGCATAGTTCCCTCACCTAAAAGAGTAATTGATTTCTTATCAAAATTGATGGACAGCTTTTCTGAATGTTTCTCTGGATGGGTTCCAAAATCCATTCTTTTAGGCTCTCCAAATAAAGGAGAGTGCTTTGCAGATGGGATTTCAGAGATGAAGGCACTGCCTGTCAAATCAGAGCGATTTCAACCTGGATCTTGCAAATCCCAGGTGAAAGTGCCAAATGGAAATCAGGTAAGTCAGCCCTTTCCCATTACCTTTTAAAAAGATAGAAAGTTACAAATTCTTTAAATTTATTAAAAATCCTGAAGATGTAGCTTTTGTGTTAACCTCAAACAAAATTTGATAGCTAATTTTTATTTTCTCCTTAGCACATCATCCTACATAAACTCTGTCTGTGGAGTACCTAGATAGTTAGAGTTTGAGAAACTATAAGATTTCAAAAATTTGGGGTTTGAGTGCATTTAATAACCTTTTTTTCCTGTCCTCATCCCCCTGTGTAATCCTGTCTTATTTTTTTCAGCTCTAATCTCTGATTTACACCATCCAGTGTCAAAATCTATTTAGTGCTTATGGCACAGTGCACAGGGGAGGAAGGAGGAGACTTCAACAGTCTCTTTTAAAATTTGTAAGGATGAGCACACAGAAGCAGCCTACAAACGTGGTTCACATTTCCAAGTTATGGCCAACACTTACCTCCAGCCAGGCAACCACTGTAGGCCCATCCCACTGTGCAAAAGGCAAACCCTTTCTCCGAGCTTCTTCCAGAAGTTCATGTCTAGAAATGGATTAAAAATTGTTAAATATACAGAGGTATGATAGTGACAATGTAGATGCAACCATGCCTTTTTGTTAAGGGTAACAACAGTGAAGCATAATGACAGGCAGAGAAAAGGCATAGAAAACAACAATGAACACTACAGCCTCTTCCCCTTTTGAATGTATTCATCTATTCCCAACTCTTCTTTTTTTTTTTTTTTTTCTTGGTGCATTTTGACATCCCTTTAAGCACCTAACATACAAAAGGCGAGATTTCTGTCTGTTCTTAGCTGAAGCAAGACAGAATTGGGATATCCTATATGAAAGGATCACCCATATAATAGAAGACATTGGTGAAGAGAGATAACCAAGGGATTCCCCCTGAGACTACCTTAGCTCTGGTCTGGTAATGACCCAGAAAGGGCCAAATTGCCAACTTCTAGACCTGAGCTAAGCATGGATGTAATGCAGCCAGGTACGAGAGGTTTCTGTTTGAAACACTAAACACTCCTGGCCCAGCTATGCACAATTCTAAGGTCTCTGGAGTGCAGCTATTCTGCATCTTAAATAAGCCATCTGTGGCTGATTAAGAGTTGGTTGTATCTTGAATAGTTCCATGTTAAGGTTTTTTATTATTATTGCTTATATGCAAAAGAAATCCATGTGGTTTACTCATGTAAACATTTTTATAATTATAGAATTAATGTGGTTTCTCAATTTTATGCATATACACATAGATACATTTCTATTGAGTTGATCAGATACCAATCCAACTCCTGCATCCGCAGTGTCTCTGGACTGCAATGAGTGTGTTATGTAAGACATCATTCTTAAAGTTTAAAATATACTTTTAATACAGCAGTTTAAATATTTGATAAAGTTATGTATAGGCCAGTCAGCTAGACTATCAGGAGAATGCTCTATATTAAACATGTTCAACCATTTGACCAGACATTTTTATTCCTGGAGCGGCAATAAAGAACCCACTGTGGTGGTTGCATAGAAAGAGCAGTCCTGCAAAAGTCTCTTTTTCTGCTATTTAAGAACATATTTTCAGCTGCCTCCTACCGAGTGAAACACAAAAGAATGCTTTCAGCAACAAGCTGTAGTGAAAAACAAATTAGACAGAGACTATGCTAATGTAGTATTAAAATTTGCTTACATTCCCACATAACAAGGAAATCTTGGAATTACAGCTTCAATTTTGCTCTGTCCTCCTTTATTACTACAGCCTTTGTGGTTCAGTTATCCCTTGGCAATTCTTCACTGCCTTAGCAGCCTTTCAAACATATGTACTAGAAAATCACAGCGATGGAGTGATCTTAATTGTAAGGAGTACTCCTTTGGGGATTTTTGTACTACTGAGGGGGCAGACAGAGAATTTGGCTTTAGTAGAAAATGGATCTCAAATAGCAGTTTTGCATATGTGTTTTTAAATCCCTCGCTGTGAATTAATAAAGACAGCTGCTTTACTTTCCATGTTTCTGCTGAAGTAATATGTAACACTGCAAATACTTGACAGCATTACTGAAGTTTATCTAGCTTCTCCTCCCACACATCCTTTGCAGCATACCTTACCCTTTGTCACTCAGACGTCCAAAGACACTGTAAAGCTATCCTTGCTTTCTATGAAAACAAAATCCTCAGGAAAATGAGAAGTTGCTCTTTGGGTACACTAACACCATGTTCCTTCAGTAGCTGGAGGAGGTGCAGAAATCCCATATTCCCAGTGACGGCCAATACAGACATACCCAGCTGGCTGCTTAGGAAAGCAGAATTAAGGCATGGCCAGCCACCTCCCAGTCACCTGTGGATGAGGTATTTGGGTTGCAGCCTTCCCCCAGAGCTGGTTCTGCAGAGTACCTGTGAAGCTACAGCAGTGCTGTGCCTCCCTCAGGTGCCGCACCAGGGTTGCACGGCTCCTGCTGCCAGCAGGGCTGTGAGCTGGCATGGCTGTCCTTAGGGAGAGCCAAGCTTTCAGGGATGCCTCTTCCTCACCTGGCCAGTTTTGGTGTCTCGTGGCAAAGCACGGACCCCACAAAACCCTATATGACTTGCTCCTTCTCCACAGCCAGCCCAAGCCCAGGGAACAGCCCTTTCTGCAGCTAGCAGTCCCATGGAGGCACCATCCTTGGGAGGAACCTGATCCCAGATTTTTTCCTATCTGGGCTACTCTCTTCATTCATACCAGCTGAAAGAGCAGGGCTGGGTATCACAGTACGTAAAACAGGAGATTATGGCTTTGAGGGCCACTGGCCTTCCTTGCTTGTGTTGGGCTCCTGCGCCACGCAGGAGAGCAGCAACACATGGTCTACAAGGAGATGGGGAGGAACTATTTCTTTGATTTGGTGTTCAATCCCTGTGTGGCCTCAGGAACCAAGGTGCCTGCAGAAGAGGCATTGGCACTTTAAGTTCTCACTTCCATGAGAAACTTACTTCCTTTATGCTGGAATTATAAAATACATATTTCTAGGGAGTCCTCTGTGACTTTGCAACATCTGAACTAGCCTGAGCCTTGGTGTGGAGGCTCAGCATTATTCCAGGGCTTCTCAAATACACTCTCCCAGAGTAGGAAAGCTCTTCTGTTACTTCAGAGGCAGTCTGACTCACAGAGCTAAAGGAAAATACAGTTGCGGTTTTTGATTTTGGCTGAATAAAATGGGGCCAGGGCAGAAATGGGATGCCCTATGTATATGCTACAGCCAAAGACTACAGTGTGATAAACATAATCCAAAGAGTCTAGGCATGTAGAAGGAAAGTTTTTTGGGTTGAAAATATTTTTAGTGTGAAGTTAAAATCCTTTACTAAGACATGCATAGGGAATACAGCCATCATAAGGCCTGTGCCTCACTTATTGATGTGGAATACTAAAAGGATTTTTATAATATTTCTTTCCCTTAAAAAGAAATTTATGCTTCAGAACTTATGCTTCCTTCCCTCAGATGTTTCATTTAAACTCCTCTCCAATATTAAAGTTTATTTAAATTATATTTTACTTTTTGAAAAGTATTCTTTGACTACTTTTTAATACACACTAGGAGATCTGCAGAACCTGAACCTTCAATTTCTAAACCAGAACTAAACCCAGAATTTCTGGTTTTTGACTAAGAGAGGTATTCTTTAGCTGGCAGTCAAAGAAAACTCTGGGTTTTTTTTATATGAACTAGCACTAGAGAAAAAACTCCACTCTTTCAAAATAAGTTAAAAGTGTCATGTAGGAAAAAAACATGTATCGTTTTGATCAATAACGCAAATCATCAGATCTGGTGATCTACCTATTTTGGAATATAATCCAAATATTTTAGAATAGCCTGAATGTACTATTATCCTTGTGGGATACTCACTGGCTTCCTGAAAACAGAAGGTCCCCAAAGCCAAATACTGGCGACTGCCGTTCAGTTTTCCTTACAAAAACGTACAACTGATCACAGGAAGAAGAAGAGGTGAATACCCTAAAACTCGTCACTCCCTCTTCCTTTCATTACAAAGATAGGGTTTGGAGATCATGAATAGCATTATACAGTTTCTTTAATTTGGAAGATGCTTTACAGGGGAATGTTAAGATTTTCTCCTCTTAAGACTTTGTCAGAAGAGTACTACACGTTATAATGTGTCCACTTTGCAATGGTAAGGAGGTAGGGAATTAAAATGTAATTATTCCCATGCTCATTTAGTTTTTTGGCAACATATGAAAACAACCTGATAAGGAAGAATTGACATTAATTAGGCATTACTATAAAAGCTATTATTTTGCAGATTTAAACCACTTACTACCACTGGAATGAATTCCAAATTAAAGCCATATTTTTAAAGATAACATTATTACTGTTCAAGAAGAAAATCCTCTTCCTGGAGACAATATGGGAATAACTGCCATATGCTATTTAAAATATATCATTACCCTGAGCCCGGTTTTGCAAAGTCAGGAAATTTCATGAACTTCAACTGTTTAACATTCATCCAAAATTTGAGAGATGCTTGTATTTGTCTTTTTTAGAGAGTGCCTCATACAGTAGGCTGTCTTCGCTCTTTTATCAAAGGCAGAAAAGAAAAATCACATGATGTCAAGTTGTGTTATGGAGTTGTGTGTCAGAGAAGCGGGGCTGCCTCCCTAGCATTGACTTCTGATGTTTATCCTCCCTCAAATTACCTCCTAAACATACTGTTACACTTGGCCATTTTCTTTAGCACCATTCTTCTGGGAGCCAGGTGCCCAAATCAACCTACCAAGTTGACAGCACAACTGTTTCACACCATGGGGACTATGAATGCTTCAATATCCCTCTGGACAGCAGAGGTACATGGGAGCAAAAGGAAGGCGTAAATGATAAGAGAAAACTATTTTATTATCGTGCAAATTTTCTATTTCATATATATCCTTCCCTTGCACTGGGAAAATTCTAGCTCTGTATCACCAGCCCTCACCAACTTATTGCATAAAACTCAATGAACTTTATTAAAAATAACAATAATCTTTAAATAGACTTTGTGTGGGAAGTTAACAAGATCTTGATTTAAAGCATGTCATTCAGTGACATTCAATTTTCTTTACGAAGATGAGGCTCCCCTCCATGAAGCAAACAAGAAATAGCAGCTTAGGATTTCTGATGTGCAAAATGCAAACACTCTGTGTAGTACACAAAGTCCAGACATTGTCTTGATGAAACTTGAAGAATGTTTCAACACAGATCTTCGTATTTCTGCAAATAATAGCATTTACTCTGATAGTTCTAGTAAAGTTCACACGCAAAGTCCTCAGGGATATTCTATTGCGCATATTATAATGTCTCTTATTTAAAATGTAATCATAAATGTGAGATAAATTGAAAAGGAGGCACATTGAAGTCAAGACCCAAATAATGTTTGTAAAATACAAGCAGAATTTATTTAAAAATTTTGGCTAACGGGCAATTTAGATTCTATGAAATGGCCTTTACTCATAGACATTTTCTCATAAAGATAACAGATGAAAGTGTTTGCCTAGCAGATCCTCTGATTATTATTATTATTACTGACACT